GTAAGTTTGAAATATATTTTTATTAGATTGAAAAATAATATATTTTTTTTGATATAAATAATAAAATATAACTAACATATAGTACTCAAATCTAAATTGTTATGTAAAAACATAATTTGGTTTAAAAAACTGAGATTTCTTCCGACTTTTGATCCCTTTTCTGATAACATGTTGCGTGCCTTTGAAAAAAGTCTTTCCGATATTTTCGAACTGGCTGGTGTTGGCAAAACACACGTACTTAGTTTGTACAATAAAGGGTATTCTCGTTTGTGTGAATTCCACCACTCCAATGGATCGAATTCCTTGTAGTATAAGATCGTCTGGCTTTCATATCTTATGATTTCATTCTGTATTTTATCATCGCTCTCTGGTGGATTAACAGCAATTTGGACGAAATCATTAAAAGCATCATCATTGTCATTTTCAAGTTCCTGAATATTATTTGAGATAGATCCTGTATTTTCCTCGTATCTCTTTAGCATTTCCTTGCAGCTTTTGTGAATATAATCCTTTTCGTTTTGATCAAAATTCTTCAATTTATTTGCTGGTGGAAATAAAAAGAGTGCAATTTTGTGGAAGTCCTTAATGTTTTCATCAATAATCGTATCCATAAAATGTAGAAGATTCCTTTTAAATACTTTTATAAATTTCGAGTCACTTGAATTTATTCTGCAAGTTACGGTTTTCAGTCTTCTTATTTGAGGATAAACTTGATGGATTGTCGGGTAATTCATTTCTTCAAAAAGCCTCGTAACTTCCTCAAAGGGTTTTAAAACATCAATTATTTCATTGATATGAGCCAAATTAAGGTTAGACATTCTGAACATCTCTGGTTTATCTTGTAATATTTGGTTAATATCAGACCAATTTTGCTGAATTGATCTCAACAAATAAAAATTTGAAGTATAGTTTTCCAAAGTAAAGCGGATGCTATGACCTGATTTTATGAAATACTGAGCTATTTCGGAACAAGCTATCGTCACTGCATGTACTTCGGATGTTCTGGAATGGGCTTTTTCTAATACCTGCTTTAGAAGGTGATTAATGCAGAATATGTTGTTATGCTTCTCGAATGCTGAATGCATAACTGGGCACATTTCAGTAACAATTGATACCGTATCACTTAATTTGCAATTGAAGTCCATTAATATTTTATCGACTTTATTCTGTATATTTCTTCCTTAAAAAATAAGAGAGATTTAAAATTAATAAAAATTTACTGTAAGAAATGCTGTAAGAAACTTACCAGTATTGGTCATGCTTTCCATTTCACATATCCCTAGAGTTTTGCGAATTAACTTTCCATCTTTGATATAATGTACTGCAACACCAACGTATAATGTGCTCGTAAAGTTGTTGGCCCATAAATCGCATGAGATATTAAGTCCCACATCTTTTATTAAGTTTAATTCGTCTTTAAGAATTTTATGTTCGTTCTCATAAAGATTTGTAATATTTTGTAATACCATTTCTGAGTCTGGCATGAGGCTTTTTACATCTAAATTTCTTCCAAATTTGTCACCAGTTTTAACACAAAAATCAAGCAAATTTAATAAGCCTTCGTCATTTGATATATTAAATGGTCTGCAATTAAGAGCAATCCACTGAACGACCAATTCAGTGATTTTTTGTTTCAAATCATTCGTCGTTTGGAATTTTTCTATATCGCACATTTTCACTCTATCTATATGAACACGTCTATTGACAAAGAACTCACGAATTAAATAAGATACAAATTGCTTTGTTCATGGAGTTTTATTTTATTTTGTGAAGGATTTTCGAGGTAGGTATAGTTCAGACAGGTAATATTTAAGATATGTAAAAAACTGGTTGAACAATATTATATTTTTAATTCTACGAAAATTATTTTCTAATTACAACATATGGGTAGCAGGTAAAACATATGGGTAATTATATGAAAAATAAAACCCACGACTGAAAAAATAAAACCCATCAAAATGGTTTTACGACAAAGTACCAATAATTTCACAATAACATCTCATTTAATAAGGGCTTCAATATTATAAAGTATTAAAATCCCAGTAGTTCGGCATGCATGCGAAAAAGACATTGATTTCCACGACGTCTAACCACCTGGCTGGCTCTAATTCGTCTTTAGTCAGGGATGTACTCTTTGTAAACGAGGGTGAAGATAATCGTCACTTGAGTGTCCCCTTTGTAAGCGACAGATTGGACACTTAAAAACAAACTTAAACTTTTTGTCTGTCTCTTCGTAATCCATGGGGTGATGATTGACTTCCTCGTAGGACAAGCACATGTTAAAATAGCTACTCACCTGGGCAGTCGGTGGCTAAGGGTTAATTCAAAGTTAGTTAGTTCGGGACTGTCCGATCGAACTACCATTCACTCAGTCCACTGAATGTTTAATTTCATGTTTCTAAGTTCAATATTATCGAAAACTAAAAAATTATCCGGAAAAGTAGCCTTTTATTCATTTTCATTCACTCTGACCCTGAAGTTTAATTTTATGTATCTACGATCGAATTATAGGAAATTTTAGAAGAAGACACAACAGGAAGGGCGAAAAATTCCAGCTGTAGAACGAAAAAGTACCAAAAATTCCATTCCTATGAATTTCCATTCACTCAGGACTCTGAATGTATAATTTTACAATAGATACAATATTTTAGAAAATTTAAAAAGTACCTCTTGAAAAGATAAAAAGTACCAGAAAGTTCCCTTTATAGACTCTCATTTACACCCTTTTATAGATGCTCTACACAAAGGAAAAACCAGTTGAAAGGAAATGAAATTGATACAATCCGTTTTCAAGAGTGAGCTTTCCACGTTTGTTAACATTTAGAAAACAACGTAGCGTTGACACTTTGATAACACATCGTTTTCACTCCCATAAAAATAAATAAATTTTATTAAAAAAATTGTAAATTTTCGTAGTAAGCCACCACCAGTCGTAAATCGAATCTACGTCTATGATTTGACAACATCATGTTTTATTTATCTTTTTGTTGATTTGAAAACGTCGTGTATTGTTGTTGTTGGTTTGAAGGGTCGGTCACTTCCGGAGACCTTTCCTTTACTGAGATTCTTGCAGTGGTCAGTAGAAGAGCGAGCCGGAAGTTTACCAGTCCACTTTACCTTTCCTGGTGTTGTGGCCACTTTGTTAGTGTTTTGAACTCCGCAGCTCGCTTCGAAGACATGAGCGCCTTGTTTTTTGGGATACCACCATCTTGGCCTTTTAGCCGACTGCAGGTTGATGATGCTATCGACACATCACTCTTTTGAGTGCTAGCATCCACCTGTTGTCCCCAGGGAATGTACCAATATAGAACGTCACCAACTGGACCGCATATTCTTTCGAATTTAGCAATGCTTTGTCGGTGCCTTCTGAGTAGGAGCCTCTTCCTTGACGAGAAAGGCGAGAGACCTCAAAGTCCCGTTCCTAGCCTTCTCCTCTCTCGCTCGGCCTGTATTATTAATACCTCGAGGAGGGGCTCTTGGCTTCTCCTCCACGGCAACTTGCCGATTGACCTGTGGACGGTCCCCTTTAATGTCTTTAAATTCCCTTGGCCTCATCGGTAGGGGATGTTATCTTATCAGTCTGAACGTTAGCAAGCTCATCGTCAGTCGGAGATAAATGCCCCAACTTCCCTTTCCTAGCCTTCCCCTCCTTCGTTCGGCCTGTATTATTAATACCTCCTCCATGGCTACTTACCGAACGACCTGTGGAAGGTTCTCACCCAATTGTCAAAAAAGATGGGGGGTATATTGATTTTCCGTTTGCAACACATCGAAATATTGGTCATAGACCCACAAAAGTATATATATTCTGGGTCCTCATTAAATTCTAAGACGATCATGCCATGTCTGTCCGTCTGTCTGTCTGTTGAAAGCACGATAGAGCCCGAATGAAAAGAGCTAGAGGGTTGAAATTTCACATAAATATTTCTTATAGATAAGGTTTGTTTGGTATTGAAAATGGGCAATATCGGTCCACGTTTTCGGATAGCCCCCATACAAGTCGCCTCTCGAAAAGCAGCTTTAACAGCCATAACTTGTTTAAAAATACGAATATAGCGATGAAATTCGACATAAGTAAGTTTCTTACGATCCAAAATCAGTATGCAAAATTTTATGAGGATCGGTCCATAATTGACCCTACCCCCCATATAAGGTCCCCTTTTGAAAATGACTTTAACGCTCATTACTGGCTTAGAAATACTAGTATATAGATTAAATTCGACATAAGTAAGTTTCATACGAGTCAAAATCTATCTAAAAAATTTTATGAGGATCGGTCCATGATTGACCCTACCCCCCATATAAGGTCCCCTTCAGAAAATGACTTTAACGCTCATTACTGGCTTAAAAATACTAGTATATAGATTAAATTCGACATAAGTAAGTTTCATACGAGTCAAAATCTATCTAAAAAATTTTATGAGGATCGGCCCATGATTGACCCTACCCCATATAAGGTCCCCTTCAGAAAATGACTGATAAGCTCATTAATGGTTTAAAAATAAGAGTGAAGCGATGAAATTCGACACAAATAAATTTAAAACGAACCAAATTCTGTCTACCAAATTTTATGAGGATCGACCCATAATTGACCCTACCCCCCTATATAAGGTCCCCTTCAGAAAATTACTTTAACGCTTATAACTGGCCTAAATATACCAGTATTTAGATGAAATTCGACATAAGTAAGTTTTATTCGAGTCAAACGAGGTTTGATGGTGGGTATAAAAGATTCGGCATAGTCGAATATAACACTCTTACTTGTTAAATTTGGTTCTTATATTTTGAATTCCACGAGTATGCAAGAGCAGACGAAATGTGCCTATATAACGCTATGCCTCACATTAATATGTTTACGAAAGTTTTTCTGGATCAGCCCTCAATTGGTCATAGCTCCCATATAAGATCCACTTATATGGGCAGATTTTATCCGGTTTCTCCGGGTCAGTTCGATATACAGCAAAAGGGCCAGATTTTTTTACACAATTATTTATATAATTATATATTATATTTTAATTAACAATTACATTCAATTAATTAAATGTAACATTTTCTCAATGTATGTTTTAATTATTTGAGAGTTTAGAATAATTGACAGTTTTCATATAAAAATTATTGAAACCTTCTAAATATCTACTTGTTTAACCATAACTGGTTGTAGAGTGTGAATGGACTTAAATATATTTAATTTACATCTAAAATACTATCAATTAGTTTTTTAGCCTGTTCTAACTTTTCCTCTAATTCAATATTTATCTGCTTTATTAGTATCTCTTGGGCGTGATTTATCTCTTCGATGTGTTTTTGTTTTTCTTTAAAATACAATAACAATTGTTCTGCGATTTCATTAATCGAGTGACGTTTCTTTTCCATTTCCTGGCGGTAGTGAGAAATGAAAGTTTCTTCACAAATGTAACCATATTTCAAATGCTCTTGACCATCGGCCCAGGTGAAATTATTTGTTTTTGACCATGTATGAACACAGGGTTGATTACCACCTAAATTGTTGGGTTCTCCTTCTTCCCAGTTGGCAAAATTAAATGTTTTACCATTCGAAACCCAGACAAATTTACGCTTTGAATGTTCAGCCGTAGAGGCGGTAGCACCAATCCATAGATCAAGTCCAATGCCTAAAAGTATAAATTGTATTAATGTACTTATTTTATATTGCCTAAACTTACCAAAACGATTTTTTAATAATTTTACTAAATAATAATTTTTATCGGCAGTATCTATTTTTGCTAGAGATAAATTTCTTTTGGCACATTCATGTAAAGCCTCCAACCAGGAATACTAAGTAAATAATTGTTAAATTGATTCTCTTATTTACAGTTTGTTTAATAAATTTACCTCATATTTGTTTTCGATTAAATATTTTGAACCATCCTCGGTTGTGGCCCATTCTGGTGCACTTTTCACCAGAGAGAAAAAAGCAATTAAAGCAAAAATTGACAGATTTCTTATATTCTGTAGATGTTTCATTGTTTGAATTCGTTAAGTAACTGAATATAATGATTTTATAAAATCAAGTTGTCTTGCATGATTTGTGGAAAATAGAGATGGTTCCGTGAGAGTGCAAACAACCTATCTTACGGGTAGCTGCTATATAAGGTCTTGTTAATCGTATTGACTTCTTCCATTCTATTCTTATATTAAATTTGTATAAATTCTCTTGTTTATCAAAAGAAACTGGAATTTATTGATCGTTTTATAAATTTACTCACTTTTTCATCTCAAATACATATCTGTAATAAATAAATTTGTTCAATTTTAATTAAATCACTTTTGCATTGCGCATTTTAAGTGTAATTCCCCTTATTTAAGCGATACACTTTGAACCAATTGTATATTAAGAACAGGTCTACAGAAAGATACACAACATTGAGTTTTAGTGCAATGAATCAGACACAGTTTGTATTTGCAGTGTTTACTTGAATAGGGGTTTAAAAAAATAGCAAATATACCTTTAAAATTTAAAATATTCCTCACCTTGGTATATTCTGATACATTTATACCCTTCAGTTTCCGCTGATATAATGCATTGAAAACCAGCAGTCGAAAAAGAATATCTGAGTGCTTTACCTGTCTTGACGGTAGACTGGAGACGGTGTCAATTTTTGTACATGGCAACAACACCGAAGAGAGCCATATATGACATTTTGATATATCTGACCTTAAACCAACTCTACGAATTTGGTTATTAACCCAAAGCCACTAAGTGAATCCCGAAGAAATCTCAACCAAATGAACATCGAGGACAAAGCCCTTCGGCCAACTGGCCACCCGTTTTACCAGATTATATGGCGTTCTGGTTCGACCCCATGTCAAATCATTTCAAGTCAAGGCATTTGATCATCACCAGTTTATAATCCCGGCAGAGCAGATGTTTTAGTAGCACCTCTTTAACCCGGGATTGCAATACACCAAGATGGGATCTATCATCATGGAAACATGCCCCGGGAGAACCAACAGTCGAGTATGATGTCGAAGTGCTTTACATGTACACATGTGTTGACAGCCTTATTTCTCGACATGTACATGGTTGTACATGGTTCTGCCAGTCGATGTACAAGCACGTTGCTTAAGTATCTTGGTTTACCGCGCACCCCGAAAGGACCTCTTCAATAACCGAGACAAGACAAAGTCCAAAACTTTAGCTTGTGAGATACCGGTTTCAGTGGGAAGTGGTAAGGTAAAAGTTTGATAAAGGTAGTGCAGTTTGACTATCGACAAATATTCATATGTTGCCACGTATATTGAGGTCATATGGTACCCTACAGTCTGACATAATCGCAAATATTTCAGCCTGAAAAAGACGAAAGTTGTGGGGAAGAAGACACCAGAACCAACATCGCAGTTCATTTTTGAATCATATGTAAAGATCGTAGTGGTATATCAGTGTGATAAGTTACCCCTACATCACTGTGATAGATAGATAGATAGATAGATAGATAGATAGATAGATAGATAGATAGATAGATAGATAGATAGATAGATAGATATATAGATAGATAGATAGATAGATAGATAGATAGATAGATAGATAGATAGAAGTAGATAGATAGTAGATAGATAGATAGATCGATAGATAGATAAGATAGATAGATAGATAGATAGATAGATAGATAGATAGATAGATAGATAGATAGATAGATAAGAAGATAGATAGATAGATAGACGTAGATAGATAGATAGATAGATAGATAGCTAGATAGATAGATAGATAGATAGATAGATAGATAGATAGATAGATAGATAGATTAGATAGATAGATAGATAGATAGATAGATAGTGATAGATAGATAGATAGATAGATAGATAGATAGAATAGATAGATAGATAGATAGATAGATAGATAGATAGATAGATAGATAGCTAGATAGATAGATAGATAGATAGATAGATAGATAGATAGATAGATAGATCAGATAGATAGATAGATAGATAGATAGATAGATAGTAGATAGATAGAGATAGATAGATAGATAGATAGATAGATAGATTAGCTAGATAGGATAGATAGATAGATAGATAGATAGATAGATAGATAGATAGATAGATAGATAGATAGATAGATAGATAGATAGATAGATAGATAGATAGATAGATAGATAGATAGATAGATAGATAATCAAAAACTAGTTTATTGTCTAGTCTAATCTCTAGTCTACGGACTAGTTTTTAGATTAGTCTATGGACTAGTCCATGGATTAGTTTATTGACTAGTCTCTAGTATTCTAGCTACTTATTGAGCACTTCTACGGATTAGTCTATAAAATAGTTACTACTGACTATAAGGAGGAATACAATATTGTCAAGTTTATGGACTGGTATATTGACTAGTTTATAAACCAAGTCTAAGTTATGCTATGACTTGTGTATTGACTAGTCTGCGAAATAGCCATTAGATAAGATTGTGGACTAGTCTATGGAAGAGTTTATTAAACAGTCTATTGATTATTTTATGTACTGGTCTATAAACTAGTCCATGGACTGGCCTATATAGTCTATAAATTAGTCGACTAGTCTACGAACTAATCAATAGACAAGATTTCTATTGTCTATAGCTAGTATGTTGATTAGTCTATAGATTAATTATCTGTCAGGTGGTGAGCTATCCGAATATTTACTCTATTGATTGGTTTATGTCACAACAAAGCTGTTTATGGACTAAGATATGGACTTTTCCACATTTCGGTTTATAGACTAGTCTACTGACCATCCTTTTGGTTACTCTATAGACTAGTCTACAGACAATTATGGAGATTGGTTTATGGACTACACTGTTGACTAATGGGCATTATAGCGACTAGTCAATTGACTACTTAGCAATAGTTTTTGTTAAAAATATTTCTTGCTACGGCTAGAAATAGCACTAATCGTACGTGGACCAGCCTAATATTATAATTTAAATTTCATGTATAATTAATGAATTGTAGAAATCAACTATTATCAGATTTAATAAAATTAGATTAATATAACAGCAATATTTTCTTGAGTGTACAAATAGAAGTACTC